TTTTTGACTCCTCATGTTCGGATTTATTTCACTGTATGGTAAAGGTAAAAATTATTTTAAATATATTTTGGACAAACCTCGACTGAACGGTGAAGGCAAACTTATAATTTTTAAAATATATTTTTGAAGACCTCGTGTCCAGATAATTTAACTGAATCCGGTGAAGAGAGCAGAATTATTTAATCATATATTGGACACCACGTATCCATAATAGCTTCACTGAAATGTGAAGAAAAATATTTTTAATGCATATATATATATATATATATATATATATATATATATATATATATTTTTCATATATAAAAACAGTAGGTTAGGATATATCTTCTCTCATATATTATAGCAGTTTATTAGATATTTTCTCTCCCGACGTTTTTATGCTTAAATCTGTCTCGATTTTTTAAGAAATTCTCTGTCATCATGCCAACAAAATTGCTTTATGCGTTCGGCAAATTCTACACACACACGCACCCCCCATATATATATATATATATATATATATATATATATATATATATATATATATATATATATATATTTATATATATAGCAAATGCTTTCTTTGTTTAGCGAAATTGCGTATATATTGGGTAAAATTGCTTACTTGGAGATAAGTTTTTAGCAAAATGTGTGAAATTTAACGACTCCCCTAACACAGTCGTGGCTTGATGAACAAAGTGCGACAATAAAACATTATAAAAACATAATTTATACAAGAAACACACTACATAACGAGAAAGAGAATAGAGGATTGCTAAAAACGTATTCTTTTAGCGTGTTCTATTGTCAAGGTGAATGATACATAGAGAAGAATGAGTGCTTAATATATTTATTCAGTACCAGTATCCGGTGCTAACGGATACATACAAAAAAACAAAATAATAAGTTACAAAACAATTAGAATAGAGGAGGCTCAAATGCTGTATAGCCAAACGAATTAAGATCAGTCTGAATATTAATCAGCTTAGTATCAACTTATTACTCAACTGTTGAAGTTCTTAATCTTAGACTATTTAAGGCTATAAGTCAGGCAGTCTGGTAGAGTTCTGAAGGTGTGCTAGCTACTCTACAACATAGCAGTTAAAAGGATAAGCATTAGGGAACAAAATCCAAATACTTATCTGTTTGAAATCGATTATACACATATCTGAATGGTGTTCATATTCTGCTTGTATTAGCTGAATTATTCTCGTATTATTCAGTTTAGCTTGTCGGAGTTACCTCCTCCTACGATCCTTAAACTAAGAGAACAGGTCATTTCGACCTTGACCTCTCGGTTGTGCTCCCTATACGCTGTAAACCTGTGGTAGAGACTAGCAAGTTTCCTTTTTAGTTAAGTTATATTACAAACCTAGTTGTAATATTCTTCTAGACATTTTTTAGGCCTTAGTTCCCTTTAGCTAACCTCGACTTATTTTTTTATAGAGACTTTCCTGTATTAGCTTCCCAATTCTCTTGCTAGTCTCCCTTACCACAAGATAGTGACTTCTCACTAAATTCGCGGTCGGCGACTGAAACGGTCGGATACGCAGGCTCCTGGCCTTCGCGGCCATGACGTCGATCACCGGCTGCGTATTAAGTTACGCTCCCATTTTTTTTTGTCTGCCAACTTGACGATAGTTGGAAACTTTCCTTCTCTCTCTCCTTCGCCTACTACTCCGGGCTCCTTGGCCCTGTTCGACGCTCGGCATTCTGTCCCTACTGGCTGCCTGCACGTCGCCCTCAACTTTTCCCGTACACTATGTTAGTAATTATTACGGGAGGTTACTAATATTGGACTCGACCGGCAAACACGCAACGCCTGCACAGGACGCTTGACATGCGCGAACAACGCCAGCTCTACTTTCCTTCCCAACACGTCAGGTTGGCATCCCGGCCGAGACCAACATCAACTGCAACAATCATCATCCCGGCAACGACCAACTTCAACTACAGCGATCATTTCTGCAGCGACCACCTGCATGGCCAACAGCGATCACCTGTAACAACCAACCTCGACCATCAATGCCTGCACTAGAACTTCTTCACCTCTACCGTTCCGACCACCTTTTTCTTTTTCTAGAATAAATTAGCATATATCATATATATCCTCGTTCTGTCGTCTATGTTGTTTCACCTTGTCAGATTTAACGTCCTCTAAAATGTTAGCGGGCCTCTCGTGACCTCATCACCCTTTGGTGATACGGGGGGCGCTCGGGGGTCCGCTACAGCTCGTGGCCAGGGTTGTTAGTTTTTGAGTAGGCTGGAGACACGTCTAATCCATTCGAGGTTTTCTTGGAGTATGTCATTGATGATCGAAATCCTATTTCGTGTCTAATTTTGGGTCATTTTATAATCAGTTTAATAAACGCTTATCATTATCAGCAGGAGCCATATACCAAAAAAAAAAAAAAAAAGAAAAGAAAAGATAACCTATATTTTTTTATAATAGTGAAATAACTATTTATTTCATTTCTGTCTATTTGAACAAAAAAATAAATAGAATAAGAAACAGTTGTAAACAAATTAACTTCATCCGTGAAGAAACCACCGTCCTTAGTGGCGTCATCACATTTCAGATGGGACCACTATTTTAAACAAGACCACAATGCCTCTTCTCTCTCTCTCTCTCTCTCTCTCTCTCAAGCACACACAAATTCTTCAATTCTCTTTCACTCTTTCTCTTGTTACAGATTTCAATTCTTGTTTTTTTTTTATTAACCTTCGTGGAGATGTGAGCGTCCTCAGAAACAAAGAAAAAAGCGTGCTGAACTGGTACGTCTTATCTCCCCTTCTATATGACAGTAAATGTTGAACAATCGCAGACTTGAAGAGACTTGAAGCAACAGATATATAGTTCTAATGGTGAATGATAATACCATGGCTAAAACAGGTATGCAACAAGGAAGTCTTATGGAAAATAAAAACAAAGGAACTGAAAGTTACAATGAGAAAAAGACATCTGTTTATATTTCTGAGATGAGGTATTATATACACTATTTACAGTGTTCGGACTATTGTCCTCATCTTTGTTGTCATATTTAATTACAGTATATGTCTATATTTCTGAGATGAGGTATTATGTACAATATTTACAGTGTTCGGACTATTGTCCTCATCTTTGTTGTTATATTTATTACAACGTTTCGCCTTCTTCAGGTGGTTGGAATGTCGAACTGAACCCTTTATTTCGTTCACTGGGGTAGACTGTTCGTGCCATGTTTAATGGATGTCAGTTATCTGTTGTCTCCTGTTAATTCCCCTCTCCAAGTTCTCCACCGCCTTAACCAGGTATTGAACTCACACTCTTTGGGTCCGGTCACTGGATCTAACTAACGCTTTTATCCACTGTGAGATGTGTCCATGTGTCTGTGTATGAATTTCTGGGTATTATAAACCTAATGTCTTCAGCAAGTATTTTTTACTAGTGCTCATATTGCAATTTTTGCTATTATCATTGCATGTTTTTACCAGATCTCATATTGCAATTTTCGTTGTTATTATCGCTTTTCTCTGTCAGTCCTTATTACTGGTTCCCATATTGTATTCATTTCAACGCTTGGTCGGCTCAGGATACTTTTGTGGTCTAGCATATGTTTAAGTTTCACATACTTTGCACATCAGTTTCCGACATTTTGGATTTTGTTAGTTACTCTTTGTATCTTTAGCGACATTACTGCCAATGAAAAACTTATTTTTTTATTGGTCAATGTCTATCTCTAATTAGCATAAACTTTTTATATTTTGTTTATTACGCCATTGTTTTCCAATTGTAGTCTTTACTAAGTTTAATGAAGTTTTGTTACATGGCCACAAGTATGGAACATATAGTGACACCAGTAATGATTTGTGAAAATAGCTTGTTAAGCATTACAATATGATGAGGTAACCTAATGAATATTATCCGAACAGTTTCTAGCATATGAAAGGTATACTTTTGTAGTGCTTTAAATCTCTCTAACTGTTTTTGATCCTTTCGAAGCGGGTGCCATAAACTTTTTACACTGAAGCACAAAGGCCTGTGGACGCTTCACACGCAAACACATAAACACAGGCAAGTCATATGCAAATACATTCATGAACAATTTTCGTTGTGTAAGCAATTTACTTCTAGGAAAAGAAACTCTTAAACTTTCCTTTTATTGTTTTGTTTAATAAATGTTATCTTGCTTTGCAAATCAATTGGCCGTTGTTATTTTGTGCATACACCTTTTCACCTCCATTATTTCATGTATCGTAAAATATTCTCGTTAAAATCCTTTAAGTAAAAAATATAAAATTTGTGACACCAATCAAACAATCGAATTTTCTAACCAATCAGCACAAACCAAATAATACTTTTTCAACCAATGCAATTTTTTCCTTAAAACCTGATTGTAATAATAATCGCTTATGGAACCACTCGAAAACTATATATAATGAATTGTAAATGCTGTTAGACAACATATGAACGTCAACATAACTCCGTGTTACTAACAATATATTAACTTTTATCACAAACAAACTGTTTTATGCTTGAACATTTAGCTCTTTGATATACTTTGAAAGATGCGCAGTCATTAAGTTTTCCAATTACACCTTTTTTTCTATTTCGCAGTTCAAACAAACATTTTCTAAACACATCCAAGAATTTGTACGCCGACGAAATTTGATGGATTCTTGTCATATAACATTAAATGCACAAGTCTGCTCTCAAACAATTATCGCTTAATTTGATTATAGAAGAGTCACGTCATACTAATTGAACGAAACTGTACTCTATATTTTTACACCCTTATAAATGGCGAACTTCAAAACATTAAATTGTAGCTAATTCTTTTAAATTTTTGAATCAGATTATATATATATATATATATATATATATATATATATATATATATATATATTGGAACTCATAAGTGTCCATTAGAAAATGGGAGCTCCGATTTGATCTTGTTAACATCAAACTAGTTCTCCCGTAGTCTAATCTACTATAAATTGGTGACCCAACTTAAAATATAGATACGTGCGGTCATATTACGTTGGAACATCGAAATTAAGCAACGTCGAGCCTGGTCAGTACTTAAATGGGTGATCACTTGGGAATGCCAGGTGCTGTAAACTTGGATGTGCGGGTGGTGTAATCGTTAATGACTCGGAATTGTTAATCTGATATCCGAGTTCCCGTACGATCACTGAGGTTAAGCAACATCGTGCATCGTCAGTACCTAGATGAGGGATTGCTTGGGAAAACCAGGTGTTGTAAGATTGGATGTGCGAGTAGTGTCATCGATAATAGTTAACCGGAGAGCCGAATGCCCGTAAAATCACTGAGGTTAAGCAACGTCGAGCCTGGTTAGTACGTAGATGATTGAATGCTTGGGAATGCCAGGTGCCGTAAGCTCGGATGTGCGGATGGTGTAATGGATAATGGCTGGGAATTATTAAGCGGAGAGTAAATTTCCTATTCACGTGGTATTCGTTATATTGACTTACACGCAAATATACTTGTGGAAAATCCACCTATTTTCCCCCATGTATGAGTTAATTAGTAACCATTATTTTCTAAAAAAATCTTACAATCTAAAAATATTTTCTGGCTTTAAATAACCTGTAAAGGGTTGATAAGCCGAAACGAACCAATCAATAAAATATAGAATAAAATTTTCTTGAAAGAATTAACTCAAAGAAATGACTTTCACACAGAGACAAATTAAGAATTTATTTTAAAGTATTAAGAAATTTGTTTTTAAGAATTTTGTTTTATGAATTTTGTTTTTATGAATTTTTAAGAATTTAAAAAATTTAAGAACTTTGTTTTAAGAAACATAATTTTAAGTACAAAATTTTACAAACAATTTTTTAAAAATATTACAATATATTACATGATTAACTGAGTCTATACATTACGTTAGAGCCCAAACTAAAAAACAAAATTTGAAGTATTAGGAATTTTGAATTTAGTCTAAAGTATAAAGAACTAATAATTTTTTCTTGAAAGATTTAACTAAAAACAAATTGATTTCACACAGGCACAAATTAACTTCGAAAAGCCAAGGTACTTAGTAAGAACTAACGCAAACCCAGAAACACCGACTTCCATACTATATATATTTAGTATTAATTAAGTCCTGACAACAATATTGCCCGGACCAGGGATTGAACTTAGGATTAGTATATCACAATATTCAAGAAAACGCTTTAATACATTAGACCAGCATTTTTCAACCGGTGCGCTCGGGTACACTAACGCGCCCGGGTACACTAATGCACCCGGGCACACTAATGTGCCTTGAAAGGTAGTTTGATGCATCCCAAGTTAACAGAAGAGTAATTTATGAATTATATTTATATTTGAAATATCTTTGCTTTGAAAAAGCTAGATACATCATGCATATGACTTCTATGTTGAAGTCTTTGTTATTTGATATTTTAAAGTGGATGCTAAATTCCTTACTCCTTAAGAAGGTGTTGATAATCCTTTCCGTTTTGTCTGTCAAGGGATTTAAATCAGTCATTATCGGTATCTCTAATAAAGAAAAAAATCAACAGATTCTTCATAAATGCTTTTGTTATTTGATATTTTAAAGTGGATGCTAAATTTCTTACTCCTTAAGAAGGTGTTGATAATCCTTTCCGTTTTGCCTCTGTCAAAGGCTTTAAATGTCATTATCAGTCTCTCTAAAAAACAACAATAGATTCATCATAAATCCCTTTAAATGAAAACCGTACTGCTAATCTTTGGGGATGATAAGCCAAAATTGCTGACTACCTTTTCGTTATTAAAATTTAAAGCGCACCTCAGGGTTTTAGTTATTGTACTAGTGCACCTTGAAGTAAAAAAAGAAGAAGTGAGAAACACTGCATTAAGCTATTGTAGAACGGGTTAAGACATTGGTTCGGATAGTGTGTACCTGGACACCGACGAAACAGGCAAACAATAACGGTGCAATATTACGAAAGTACTAGAAAAGATATCACTAGATATGGTCAGTGGAGTGAGAACAATCTACCCTCGTAGATTAAATAAAGTGTTCAGTTCAAAATTCCCTTAAGATTACCTGGATTGACAAAACACGTGATGACGGTAAAATGCAACGGCCGAAGCTTTGTGATAATAATAATAATAATAAACACGAGAACAATAGCCCTTATGTAAATAATGTAATGAAAATATTACCAAATAATAAAAGTCCCGACATAAATATAAACACCGGAGCTATTCGAAGCTACAGCGGGTTCTGCAGTCAACCATTCTTGTGCATATACCCTGGCGACATCCTCGTAGCCAGCAGAAGAATATAAGACTCACTTGGAACAAATTTTTCAGAAACTTTTATGCTACAGTTTAAAGATTAATGAAGATAAATATACGGTTTGGGATATACGAACAGCAGTTTCTTGGTCACCTAATTGACCAAGATGGAATCATTCCATTACTACCAAAAATAGAAGCGATTTAGATTTTCTCTCGTACAACATCATTATTCCAATTCTGACGATTTATCGGACTCATAAATTATTACAGACATTCCGAAATGCTCTTCAATTTTGTTGAATTGCTCAAAGCTATTAATATGTGTGTAACTCCAACAACAGATTCTATGAAAGGAGACTAACGCCAATTTTATAAAACCTGATTAGATAAATAATGGCTTCAGATCGAAATGTTTCTCATAGCAGATGCCTCTAATTACGCATTAGGATCCTTAGTCTATTAATACCCCCAGTTCATTGCAGGTGATTAAAGGGTTAATATTGTGGCGAAAGTAAAAGATTATATTACATAATTGTCTTAATTTCTGTCGCAGTTGCACGCTGCTCAAACATGATACAAGATCATTAGGATCAATTGACAGCAAGTCACCGCCAAAATGAAACTGATATCTTTTAATCCTTATAGAGAACCATATTTGCCTTCCATCAGCATAGCTTATACTAACTTCTAGAAGAACAACTCAATTCATCTTTTTGGTTCCACACTTTCTACTGACATGAAGTGGAGTGATCATATTGAATCAATTGCTAGTTCTGCTGCTAGGAAAGTTGTTTCACTGTGCCGTGCCAGACAATTCTCATCACTAGAATCCATCTTGCACATTTGTCTATCTACCACACGTCTGTGTATTGAATATTGCTGCCATATCTGGCCTGGTGCTCCTGCTAAATATCTCTAATTTTCCTTTTCTCTTTATTCTTATTGTTTTATTATAGATATATTTTTATTTATATCAGAATTTTAAACACACACACACACACACACACACACACACACACACACACACACATATATATATATATATATACATACATACATATATATATATATTTACAAATTCATGAATTATTCACACAAAAACAAAAGAAAAGGTTAATGATTTAATTGGCGAGAAATCCATCATCGCAAACAATTCAAATAATATACAAAAACCTCCGAATCCGTTATGAATGAATTGATCCTTGTTTCCATAAATTTCTGCCGTATTAGTTCTTATTTTTTACTACAAGCTTTCGTCTGTTCCTACAGACATCTTCAGGTATAGAATAGATGTTGTTCTTGTTTTTTCTCTTAGTAATAAGAGGACAACGAAAATATATGTATTGTTGTATCCGAAAATGCTATTGAAAATGAGTTATTATTTTTGGAGCGCGCAGTAGCAACGCTGAGTTTGATTTTAAATTTTTAAAGGTTGTGCGTTCGTATAAATATGGTGATAAACGAATTTTTTACTGGTAAATTTTCTGTCAAAGTGGCATGAACTATATTGTTCAATAATTACAGTAATGTCGCAACTTATTATCCAAAAGTCGCACTTGATCAGTTATTTAAATTACGATAAACGTGCAATCAATTTTACAAATTCATGAATTATTCACACAAAAAACAAAAGAAAAGGTTAATGATTTAATTGGCGAGAAATCCATCATCGCAAACAATTCAAATAATATACAAAAACCTCCGAATCCGTTATGAATGAATTGATCCTTGTTTCCATAAATTTCTGCCGTATTAGTTCTTATTTTTACTACAAGCTTTCGTCTGTTCCTACAGACATCTTCAGGTATAGAATAGATGTTGTTCTTGTTTTTTCTCTTAACTTATATATATATATATATATATATATATATATAAATCCGCTCTCTTTTAATCATCAGAAAGAACGCTTTTTGCCTACCACCAAAATGGCTGATGCTAACCTTAAGAAAAGTGACTCATTTCACCTTCTCTGACTAGAGATTTCCGCTGGCATAAACTGGAAATATCATATTGAATCAATTTCCAGGTCTGCTCATCTGTCTCGTGCTAGACAATTTCTACCATTCGTCATTGCTTTGAATATTGCTGCCACACCTGGTCTAGTATTTCTGCTTTGTATCTAGAAATTCTTGATAAAATACAAAGAAAAATCTACAATGTTATTGGCCCTGACTTGGCATCTCGGCTTCAGTCACTTCCCACTGTAACGTAGCTTACTTCCCTGTGTTTTCTCGATAAATATTTTCATGGTAATTGTTCCGATGAACTTCCCTCTATGGTATCTAGACTTTATAAATTTAAGCGTGGTACTAGATTTGCGGCAAGGTCTCATCGTTTTACATGTGAAATGGATAGAGGTAACCGTAAGTTCTATGCTAACAGTTTCTTCTCTCACACTTCTTGCTTGTGGAACTCTCTTCCGGCTTTTACTTTTCAGTCAACTTTGATCTTCAAAAATTTAAATGCAATGACAATCGTTATCTTCTGTCTTTTTAATTCCTTTTCTTTTATTGTTCTTTCTGCTTAATAGTGTTTTTTTTTTCTCATATTCTTTAACACTTAGTAACCTCTTGCGTCTTAGTGGCGTTATTGTCTTTCTTGGGGTGAAATGGACTGAAAAAAAGATTTGATTTTGCTGTTAGTGCTTGATATTTAAAATTCTGATTTTCTGTTTCGTATCACGGAAACCATGTCAGTTACAAATGTTACTTAACTCACCTGCTTCGTAAAGACACGCAGGTGCGGGTACACTCACACGAACTTTTTTCTATTGCATAAACATCCATACTATCAGGCCCACACGTACACGCACAAAGGATGTGACGGTTTACTTTTGAAGGCATATTGCTGTCATATCTTATCTGGTCCTCCTGTTATATATTTAGAGATTCTTGATAAAATCCAAAGAAGAATTGGCAATATTATTGGTCATGACCTGGCATCTCGGCTTCAGTCAATTTCCCACCGCTGTAACGTAGCTTTCCTGTGCCTTTTGTAATAAATACTTT